TGATAAGAATTGTACGAGCTCCAATAAAATGATTTTTTAAAAAGAGCTTACATTCTGAGCACCCCCCCTTGCAGATAGCTGTGGAACAGTGAAAACCCCAAATCCACTTGTAGAGTCCTCACACAGATAAAGCATCCACTGAATTGTTCTTAACCAGGAATGTGTACAGTCTTGCCCTCAGGCAGAGTACATTTAAAAGAAGATGACCTCCATCCACCACTAGTCAGCTCAAGGAGAGGCAGTCTCCATTACAGGTTTACCTGGGTGTGCCCTTCATGGAGATCAGCACACTGGGGTTCGAATCATCATGATTCACACCTAGACTACCTTGGTCAGAAGGACCAATCTTGTGAATTCTTCTGTCCAATCATGGTCCATTTCCCACTTCTACAATCACACCTGTGGGTGTGATGTATTGATTTGCTACCACTCGTGCTTTTATGCCAAGTTTCTTTACCCTCCCATGCCTCAATTAAATTAAGTCTTGGTTCTCTGTAAACCCATGGCTGTCATTATGAACTCACACTGATGGTCTCCTTCATTTAGATGATGTGTCTTTGTATTTGTCTTGTCTTTGACTTGTTTAAGACTTAATGTTCTCCTTAAATGATATTTGAGAGTTGAGGTCTTCTTTGTACCATAAAACAGTGGAAACTAGGTTGCTGGTTCACAGGGGCCAGGGCGACCATGAATTATTGCAGAGAAGGTGAGAAGGATTAAGGGACAGCAAAACCTATGTTAAATTGGCTCGTGTAGAATTGTTATCAGAGCTGGAATTTAGGAACCAAAGAGAGCTACTCTCAGTGCACTCCCTGTTGACCATTCCGTGTTCCTAGCATGGGACAGGCCAGAGTGGTGGGGACACATCTCAGGAAGAACTTTGCAAATCCGTTCAGAAAGATTCTTGGTAATCATCGCCATTTAGGGCATTGAATGTGTGGCCCATGAGATAGATTTCCTCACACTGTTCGTGTTCTCAGGTCACAGCCCAAGGGGAGAGTCAGACCTCTGAAAGGTAGGCTTCTTACTTACAGGGAGATCCCAGGAGAGTGTGATGACTCATGAAACCATTGTGGAAAACAGCTCAATGCTCTGAGTTCCCACTGTCATGTTTAACATGACGGTTTTGTTTAAGACAATGGCATCAGAAGTCTAAGGGACTTCTCCCTCTGGAAATGACTGCCTTTGGGGGGGCATGGTTATTGGCACATCCCTCTACAGAACTTAGCCCTTGACACCATGGGGTTCCTAGTCAGATGGTGAACAGGTTTCTATGTCTTGAACTTCCAGAGGCTATATTTCAGATCAACCTCTGGTATTTCCTGTCTGCTGGGGTTTCAGAGGAGAATAACACCCTAACTTAGTTCCTCAAAGATCCAGGGAGTAGGAGACAAGAGGGAGTTTCAAAATTGCATTGGCTTCGGAACCAGGAATGCTGGTCATTTCCAAGGGTCAGAAGGTGGGGCAGACCCTACCTTTTTCAGACGTCTGCTTGCTTCTCTGCCCCTCCTTCAGGAAACCTGGAAGAAGCTCCTGGCCATCAGCAAGTACAATGAGCAGGAGTCCTTCGCGGTTGTTTTCCAGCCTATCTTCTTTGAGTCATCCCCATTGCCTGTCTTGGTGAGTGAGGGCTACAGGTGAGGCACACAGGTGCAGATTGGGGAGGGAGCCTGGGCTGCACATATGCTTCCTGCCTCGCCTTTGTCACCCCTCATGATTGCAGAAGGCCCAATGCACTCAGCATGACGGAATCAGCAAGAAATGCTGCAATAGGCTTATACTTTCTTGTATCCTTCCCTATGGGGTTGGATGGCCCCCATTGCCTAGTTCTTAAAGGCAGGGCAGCCCAGAGCTCAAGAGCATCAACTCTTCAGATCCATGACTTCTAATCCTAGCCTTGGAATGGGTCAGTTGAGTCTCCTGGGTCAAGTTGTTTGAACTTTGTGCTTGGTTCCTCATTTGTAAAAGCAGGATTGCTATTAACACCCTCTACCTCTAGAGTGCTTGTAAGGGTTACATAAAGTAACAGTGAAGTAGGAGTCAACTCTGGCACTTGGGAAGCATGCATGCCTCTCAGTTAATGTGATCACTCAGGACAGGATTTCCAGGGGCACAAATCACACCCCCACCCCTATCTGCTGCCTCATTCTCTGCTACAGGCATCATTACAAAAGATGGCATGTTCGAATGACATCCTGGGTCACTATACAGATCCCTCCTGTGTGGTCATTTTGACCATGCAGCTCTGTGGGTGGGTCTACACAGGAAGGCTTGGGGTCTCCAGGAGTCTGGGTCCTGCCTGTTGAAGTCATACCACATCCTCCAGGGAAAGCTGTTTAACAGGAGGAGGAAGAATGTGAGCTTCCCATCCCCTCCATCCTCCTCATTCTCAGCCCACACGCAAACCAGTTCCCTGACATTGGCTCCTTCTGTTCTGTTCCCTTATGCAAAACCCCAAGAGCACTGAGCAATCAGGTATGACTTGCTCCTGTAGGCCCCTTTAGGGTGGGGTGGGGGAGTCATAGAGACATCCCTTTTTTACCTGGTTCTCTTTCAGGAGAATCCACCGCTCCAGGATCCCACCTCGCTTGCTTTGTTTCTCTGGAACAGCATGGTGAGTAGACCAGGGATATGGGCTTCAGAATGAGGGGTCGGGTCTCCTCCACGCTCCCACTGGGCCCATTCTATACTCCAGTGGAGGGGCTGCAGGACCCCCACAGGTCCTCAGGATTCTGTGTCTAGGTCAGAAAGGAAACTTCTTACACCTGACGGATAGCCAGATCTGACCACTGAGAGTTTTGTCTTCCTCTCCCAGAAGCTGGGCCACAGCATGGTGAGTAGAGGCTCTCACCAGTCCTGCTCTTCCCATGGGCAAGGAATTTTCCTCAGAGTCAATGGAGAGACTCCACTTGGATGGAGGACTAAGGACCAGGCTCAAATCTCAATTCCTGTCCAGCTTTTCCTCATTTTACATCAGTATGGGATCAATGGGTTTAAAGGTCCAACATATTGTCTGGGCCTAGGGTTAGCGTCATGAAGGCCTCACTTTCAGTCTTCGCCTCGTAGACTTTGTGAGTTCAGGGCCTCCACCCCTTTCCTCAACACCTAGATCTTAACCCTTGACGTGACATGTATCAAATGTGTAGCATGCTCATGGTCCATAGTGAGGAGTCAGTGTGGGCTGCCATTTTTACCAGCCCTTGCCCAGTCCTAGCAGATTTCTCCCTCCTTGCCTTGGTCCCCAAGGTCCATCGGGGCCATGTGGAATGAGTCAGCAACCCAAATGTGTTGTCCAGGGCTGTCATGATGTTAGCTTTTCCCAGACACCAGATAGAGGCGTGATTTTGCCACTTAATTTTTCCCCATACAGGTTGTCCTATTGCTAGAAGTCCAGTGATGGGATCTTGTTCTCCTTTTTCTTTGGATTAGGAAGGTTTCTCTTCATCTCCCCAACTCATGTGTCCCGCGGGTATCATGAACACTGCGTTTCAGTTGCCTTATCTGGAGCAGGGGTGTCAAACTCAATGAAAATGCGGGCCATTTGGTGCAACAGGCAAGATTCACACGGGCCACATCACATTTACAAATTTTGTTAAATTTATATTTTGAAGTGAGGATTCAGGAATATGGATAG